CAAGCTGGTTTAAAAACCAGCTTGCCGGGAGGCATTCCTCCCGGCGGTGTGGCCTCTTGGCACTGGGTATCCCAAGGGATACCCGGATACCCGCCAGTATTTCAGGGGGAAGGGTGCATCCGCACCCGAATCAGCACCCGCTGGCGGGTATCCGCCAGCGGATAGCGGATATCCGCGGCGGATTATCCGCGACCATCTCTAAGCTCCATCCCCTGCTTCCACCCCTCTGGCTATCTCTTTGCCACCCACCCCCAGATATCACCAACCAGCTGGCCCTATTCTGGACAATGTCCCCCCCTTCTCTTGATGATGATAAATTTGGTAATGGCTTTCATACTGGAATGGAATGTTTTGAGATTGATGCTAGTTCAGATTGTGACATTGATACATACTAGCCTGGATAATAACACAAAAGTGGATTGTGGCATTGCTACTAGTAATTATAGATTGAAGTGTGAAAGCAGTGTTGCTGATGGTTTGGACACTGGAAATTTAACACTGCAGTTGATTAATGATCTGAATGGCTATGATTTTATGTCAGATGGAAAGTTATTTTCTAAGTTCCTTCCTTCTCTCTCTAGACTTCAAGTGGATGTTTCTGATAGGTTTTGGACAATCATTACCAGCAGCCCAGTTTGTATCAATGGAATCACTTGTCAGATTCTGGAAAAAAGGGTCAATCCATCACAGTTACATGGTTTCAAAGGGGTATTCTCATGCAGGTAAGAATGAATATATCCACTGTGAATGCCCTGAAAAAATCTGGGACTGTTACAGAATACAACCATATTGTTGATCAGAATGGTTTGACAGCTTGCAACTCTTGCACAAATTATGTACTTTGGAAGCAGAAAGTGTTCTGTAGTCAATGAAAAGACAAAATGTCTTGACAGAACATGGATTGGCACCTATGAAGTGTGACTACCCCATCAAGCTCTGAGGCTCAGTTCCAAGTGGCCAGAATGCATCCCCAGACAATCCCTGGACTTGGAAATATGTGATGGCTCCCTCAATCATGAATCACCTTTTACTCTGTTCTCACACACAGCTGATAGTATCTGGCCTTGGCAAAGGATACCAAATCATGAAACATCACCAAGCAAGTACAACATATCTTATAGACAGTGGCTTTCATATATCTTTGTGCATAATTTTGCAACTATTGACAACCCAAGGTGAGATGCAAGAATGCAAATTGTAAGTCTGTATCATATATTGGCTAATTCTGAGATGCATTAGGTCAAAAGGGTAATACTAACTATGTATGATTGGATCAAATGAGAAGATAATGAGAATGGATTAAATAATTCAACATAATTTAGACTAAATGGGATGGATGTGATGATGATAATAATTATTAGCGGTAATTGGGATTGAATTCCTAGAGAAAGAAAGAGGAGCCAATGAGAAGTTCAATCTAGTCAACAATGCCAGACTGCAATTGAAGTAGAAAAACAGATCAATCAAGGCAATAAGCATTAAAAGTTTAGTAGATCTCCACAATATCAATCCTACAGATCAGCTTTCCGTCAATGACTTCCTCATTCCATGTTAACAGCCCTAGTTGGGGAAGTCGTCGTGGCCTCAAAACCAAACAAAGATTGCAAGCGGGTGAGGTCGACATCCTGCGATTGACTCCTTGAAATCCGGCCGCCTCCAGCCCCTCCGTCGGCTCCAAACGCGCTAAGAGATGGGCTCACAGGCAGGTTGGCGGTAGCCGGGCCTAAACCGTGAGGTACGCATATCATCTGGTTAGTTCATTCTGCTGTTCCGGTGCGTTTCACATCATGGAGATGTGTTCAATACTAACGGCTTGCAGGAACAGATGGCATGAGTCCTTCTGACCCTCCGCCGTTGGGAAAATCAGGATCGTCTGCCTTCAAATTGTTTAAAGCTCTCCGGAGATAAGCTTGAAAATAAGTTCCGGTAGCACTGATCCACTTGTCAACTTTGCTGTGTGCCTCGGGGTGCATTTTAAGGAGGTGGTATAAGTCAGAAATGCCCTGTAAAACAAAACAAAACGAATGTAAATTTCCGCAATGATAATCGTCCAGAAGGTAAACGATTTTACCTTTTTGGAATCAATGGGGCTGCCAATCTTTGCAAAAATCTCAGTGAGATGATTATTGAGCTCTACCTCACTTGAAGACTCATTTGCAGGAACAGGTTTCGATAAGGCAGTACTGCCAAATGAAGCAGCCGATGATTTAGAATCTCGCCTAGGCCCTGTAGTGTCAGGTGGTCTGGGGATAGGAAACGCTGGCGGTGGGCTACGCGCACCTGCCGAAGCTGATGACATGATTGTTCGACTGCTGCCACCTGCTCGACTGGATGATGGATTTCCACCGGCCGTCCATGAGTTATTGAGTAGTCGAAACAGGTATTGATACACAAACGTGTCTTGCGGGTTTTTCAAAACCGATACCGCATCGTATACAGCATCCCCATAAATGGTGACCACCTGTTGCAAGATCGTTTTGACAGTCCGAAGGGGCATATCTGCCAATGGCACATTATCGTTGGCCCGTCGACGCCATTCGGCTGGTGGTATGGAAACCAGAAATTCATCTATATCTCGCAATAAGATCGAGACATCTAATGTCCCATCCTCCAAAGATTCTTTCGCTGTCTTAGAAACTTTCCACAAGCACTGGAAAGAATGATAGAGATCCCCATGTTAGGTTAGCTACAGAAATCATAAAATAAAAAAAATAAAAACCCGAAGGCGTACTTTCATGACCAATTCCGCATACTTTGCGCGATGTCCCAATTCAGATTCATCTTCGATCTCGCGCATGTCGATTGTAGTCATTCTCAGAACTGTGAAAAGTGCTCTGATTAAAGTCACAGGAAAAATTTATGCGTAAGTATATCCAACCCGATATCAATTAATAAAACGTCAAAGCTCACCCAAAACATGCACTGCGATCTGCATTGTGGAATATTCTAATCAAGACCATATTTAACACTTTCGATAAGCTGGTGATGTGTTCGCTAGACGAATTATCAGCCGTTTCTTGTAGTCTTTGTGTGAGTTGGGCTAGAATGCCAACCAAAGACTCTTTAGAAACAGCTGTCGCCAGTTGACTTCGATCAAAGAGAGTTGATAGAGTTTGCATCAGATGTTTGCAAAGTCGGAGCTTCATGGGGGGAGTGGAAGCGTCGAGATTTTCGAATGAAATCTTCATCTGAGTCGAAATGACATCGACGATTGCATCTGCAGTAGAAATAAGTGTATCTGGTTGCTCAGCAATGTCAGCCTGAACCGATTTGAGTGCATCTGTACTTCTAATGTCATCGCTTGACAAGATCTCTCCGATGACACCGGGATGGTTTACTGCATTTGAAACTACTGAGTCTGTCGAAGCTGCTGGCGCCATTCTTTGAGCCTGGCTTGTAGAAGGGCGGAGAGAGAGACGTGGATCAATTTTGGAGCTAGAGATATTGTTACTCGAAACTGAGCTATTCCGAGAAAGATCAAGTGATGATAATTGGCGAGCAGGGCCAGCAGGAGGGTGAATTTTGGTTGGTGGTGGTATTGCAGATGAAGTTGATTTCATCAAACTGCTTGGTTTTCGGAGTGCTTCTTTGGGATGGCCATTGAGTTCTGGCTCGCTAGGCGGGTTAAAAGCGGCCGATGGGCGACGTAGTACACTTGGTTTAATTCGACGTGCGGCGGCCGGCCCTCTTGGAGTAGGCGAAGCTGAAGGTTCGACAGGAAGACGATCTGGCTTGGGGGATGCAGGAGCTTCTGTCCTCTTGAGACGCTCTGTCAACATGTCGTGCTCTTTCCCGGACAAGTTTTTCACATATTTCAAAATCACGTCACCAGCAGAGGCATAGGCACTAGCTAACGCGGCAAGTGCCCCGTTGCGCACAGCTGAATCCCGGTCAGAGATTAGGGCGGCGATTAGCGGTAAAGCCTTGGCGGGCTGACACACATTGAGACCATGCCTTTGAAAGAGAGCGCTGAGCTCTTCGGCACATTCTGCACGTATCCGAGCGTTCTTTGCCTTAAGACCATGATCGATGAGGCTTTGGAAAACTTTGCTAAATGGATAAATACCACACAAATTCTTGAAAATTGTCCGAATTCGAATTCGAAGAACTTCTTTGCTATCCCCACACTGATAGGAAGAGTCAAGATAGTGTGTCAAAAGGCAATTTGAACATTATTCAAAGGTTTGATGAATTTCACTCACTCGCCCAATCAAGCTTGGTAACAGAATTGAAGCCTCATAATCAGTCAAACGATACCCATCAAGTTGTAAAGCCGTGATGTATTGATCGATGATATCCAAGCACTTCATCGTGATTGTGGTATTGGTGTCATGTAATCGAATGGTCAGATACTTGAAAACAAGGTCTGAGTTCGCTAATAGCCTGTCCCTGATATCAGATTCTTCCAAGTTGACTTGTTCTGCAGCAGTTGATGGGTCAGATGTCCACGTTTCGATGACGTTAAGCCCAGCAAGGAAATCTTTTTCGCAGTGATGGTCTTTGCTAAACAGTTGTCCGAGAAGCTCGGGGCTGATTTGAGGAGCCATCTGTAGGTAGAGCTGTTCGATTTGGTCTTTGCGCACTGCACCATCAATGACCCACTTCAGGGGACCGGTTTCTTTGCTGGCACGAACCGTTTTAGACTTTGGATCTCCTGATCGAAAAGCGACTTCCGCAGTGGCAGCCGGGGCGGCGGGAGATGATGGCTGAGAAGCGACAGGGGCCAGCTTGGCACTAAGCGAGCCCGCAGGCTTCCGAGCTCCCAGTCTGGACTTCGAGAGAGGTGGCCTGTCGTCACGCGACGGCGTACTGGCTCGGGGCACACTAGCGGCAGATGGCGGCCTTGGTTGTTGCTTGCTGGCCGCAGGTGCTGCTTTGGAGGCTGTCTTATTAGGTGGCGCTTTAGAAACGGGTGCTTTGACAGGCGCTGCCGGCCTACAACTTTCGATCATTGGGACCACATTATTCCGAGAAGCGGGTTTCAAATTGTTGGTTTCCTCGAGGACCGAATCAATACCAACCGATATAACGATTGTCGGTAACAGGGCGGTGGCACCTTTGCGAACTTCCGCGTTCCGATCTTCCAGACAAGATATGATCGGCGAAGCAAAGGTAGACAGATCCAAACCTTTGACTGCGTCGGGATCCGCCAGGCGTTCAACAAACCAATTTAGAGCCGACGACCTGAGCTCGGGTTTCGCTATCTCTAAAGAAGTTCCGACGCTGGGCGCCAAACAGTCCAAGCCGCATGAATCCGCAACCACGGTCAACGTGTTCAAGGCGTTGTTCCGAGCTGTGGCGTTTTTATCGGCCAAGATATTTAAGATCGCTGGGGCTAGTGGTTTGACATGTCTTTCAAATGGCTTGCCCATCCCTGTGGCAAGTCGGGAAACTACATCCAGAGCTAGAGTCTGGACTGCTTTATTAGCATCTGCCAAGCGCAGCTTCAGTGAAGCCGTTAGATCAGGTCCTGTAATTGAAGAACAAACAAAAATATCAACCGACTAAGCATCTGGCAAGATAGAAATGAATCACAAACCGAGGTTAGGCTTCAAGCGTTTGTTTTGCTCCAGAATATCTTGAATAGTTGTCAACGCCTCTTTGCGAGTTTTCCAAGCCGGGTCATCGCAGGCTTTGATAGTACTGCTGGAAACTAACCGATCGAGGTCTACTCGGGGAAATAATTCATCGAGGGGATCGCCAGAGGCCCCTGATTTCCCTTTACCCTTAGCCCCACTGGCTTCACCTTGACTTGCCTGGGCAACGTCCACACTTTGTCGCGTCGGAGTAGGTGGTCGCTCTCCCTCAATTTTAGAAAAATCACTTTCAATCGAACTGAGTAGCTGAGGGTTCAAATCTTGTAGGAAATTGCTGATATCTGAAAGATTAGTCAAAACAGAATATTTGGATTGGTCAACGGCTGATCGGTGAAATTAAGATATACACACGAACCAGCGCCTATGCAAAGTTTTGTGGTCACTAGAGCTTTGGTAGCGTTTGTCCGAACGGCTGCGTTGACACTTTTCAACCCAGTCTTGAGACATTCAATCAGGTTTCTGACCGGTACGCCGTTTATGCCAAATTCAATGAGGGCGGAATCTATAAACAAAAAGCTTTCTGCTTGGATCTTGACGGCTTTCTGCTTTGAAATCGAGTCGAACGCTGGGGACGGATGACTAAACGTTAGAACCATCAACCTTCTCGAATGTTTCGAATGTAAACATATATTTGCCTAACCTTGCGATAACACGAATCCCAAGGAAGATTTCTCAGCAAAGGTTATTAACGCGTTCCCTGCGGCTTCTTTGATCTTACCATCCCCGTATTTTTCAAAACAGGATGGTATTGTCAAAGCCATACATGCCTTTGTGAATGACGGGCATTGTTCCGCAAGTAGATTGATGACGGAGAAGACACGCTGCCAGACCTGGGAGTACAAATGTGTGAGTTATGTAGACTTAACAAGCCAATCAGTATGACTGAGGTGGCTTACTTGGAAATTACTCTCCTTTGGTCCGGGTTTTTTATTCAGATACCGTACAACCACCTCGGCTTCAATTTCGTCGGCCTGCTCTGGAATCCAACTCAATAGTTCTTCTAAGGCGGCCAGGCGAGTTTTCCATAGACTGTTCCCCACCCCTTCGATGAAACTGGCGGGTAAACAGTCGGGTGCTCTTGCTTCTGCTTCGTCTTGGGACATTTTATAGCGAACTTCTTCGGTGGCCTTAGCGTTCCCGCTCCCCCCAGCAGGAGCAGGGGCTGTCCCAATACTCTTCTTTGTGGGAGGGGCTGCTGAGGGTGTGGGTTTCTTCGCAGGGCGGGCTGGTGGCTTTGAAGAAATGGAGGAACCGAGTCCGTTGTCGACAGGGGAAGGTGCTGGCGATTTGACGCGAGGGGGTGGTTTGGCGGCAGGTTTCTTTGCGGGGGCCTTGGAAGCAGGTTTTGCGGCCTGAACTTTGGGTTTAGCTTTCGGGGGTTGGTATTTCACTTCGGCCTTTTCGTAATACTCCTCTACTTTGACCTTCCGCAGATCGTCTTGTCCTTGAATGATAGGAGTGAATGTCGCCTTACCAACTAGCTTCATGAGAGTCCCCAGTCCTTCAGCAGCGATCTCCCTCACTGGTACAACGGCATCTTCCAATCCACTAAGCATCACATCAGACAGCGACTTCAGCTCAGCCTTGGGGATAGCATGTATTGTGTTGCGTAGGCATCTGACTAGGAATTTCATGGTTTGTTCTTTGACTTGAGGATTTTTGTGCTTGGAAAAGGTAACAATGTCTTCGTTGAGATCACTAAGTGTCACCTGGAACAGTAAACAAGGATAGCTTTAGCGAGTATAGTGAGGATAAAGAAAAAGCGTTACTCCGAGGTCGATAGGGACTAACCGTGGCTGCCATAGCATCTAAGCAGTTGCTCAACGCTTCAACCACGTTAACTTTTTTCTCCTTGAATTTTTCAAGAATGGGTACGACCATTAAGCTCCGGTACTTCGCAAAATCTGCCCGAAGTCCTTTCGCTAGACACTCCATACAATTTGCAGCACCTATGACACATAGAATATTAGCATCAGCCATCCTGCCGGCTAGGGATTTGATCAGCTCATCATAGTGGTCATTTTTGATCTTGATAGCTGGTTTTAGGATAGCTAGGAGTGGATCAAGGGCTTCTTCTTTGCGTTCTTTCCATTTGCTAGACCCCAAGTGCTCGTAGAATCCGGATGGTAGTTGATCTAGGATGGCGACTGGGTCGGCTAGCTCATAGGGATCGATGTCATCGGGTGCCTCTTCCACTACTTCACGATCTTCAGCTGGGTCATCACCCTCGGGGTTATTGTCAGATGTGCTTTCTTTGAGGGCTGCTTGTGCTTCTCGTTTGAGTCGATCTCGCATTTGGCCAGCGGTCTCACGCGTTGGGACGCCGGTGCCTTTTCCTTTGCCTTCGGCGTCTAACGTAGCAAACGAGTCTTGTAGTTCTTTGACTTGGACGGGTTTGAGTCCACTCAGTGATGGTTCGAGTGCGGCACCAAGAAACTGATAGATGGTTTGGACCAGTAATCTACCCTGTTTATTTTATTCGCAAATATCAATCATCAGTGTTCCCGGAAGCACGGGGAAGGGGCAGCGATGAATGACGAACTTCTTCCCGAACTCCTTTGTCGGCATGGGCAAACATTTGTGGCAATGCTTTGAGAATCAATTTGATGTTTATGACTCTGACTCCAAATGCACTGATAGAACGATCATCTTGGTGGGTTAGCTACGCGTGAAATTATGGTTACACATTGTATGCGAACACTTGACTCACGAAATTAATGCATTTAGGGCTGAAACGGCTCCAGCGACCACTTTCGGTTGCTTTGAGTTTAAACCCTCTAGGACCGCGCTCTACGGAAAAAGAAGCACATGATGAAAGTCAGGTGAATGTACCAAGTCATTGTGAATGAAGGGGCCTTGGAAGGGGGGTTGATTAGATAACCTACGACGATTCCTTCGGCTTTGTCACCATCGGCTTCAGACATAGCCCATCCCAGAAGACATTCGATTGCGGCCTCTCGAGTTCCTTTGCGAGCATTGGTAGCTAGACTTTTCTCGACCAGAGGGGTTATACAATCTGACCGACATCTGGAGCCCGCTCGACCAGCCAGGCGTATGTAAATAGAAACCAGTAGAACACCTTTCTCCTGAGCGACGGCATTAGAGTCTGTGACAGCTTTATGGGGCCATTGGTGATCCCTGATTGGAATGAATGAGATAGACAAAAGGCAATCAACAAGTCCAGTTCACTCCTTGTCAATAGGGTTGAAAGACATGTAAACGAACCGATTCCAATCATTGAAGACTTCGTCATCCTCGTCCTCTGCCAGTTGGAATTGTTTGATGAGAGTTTCATATCCGGCTAGACGTGCTTTCCATAGCTAGAACACAAGAAAGAATTTTCGGAAATTTTGGTTAGAGGTCAGCAGCCTCGATTAAGAATTTGATTGATTAGGAAACAAGAATGATGGATAAGTAGGGTGAACCTTGTGATTAAGCTGGTCTGGGACCGACAAATTTTGCCAATCCGAGTCCTGTGGGGGCTCGGCCATTCGAAGAGGGGCAACAGGTGGATCGGATACTGGTTCAGTTTACGGTGTGTCAGGAGTTGAGGATGAATGTGAGACTGGTGAGTTTGGCTAAAGTGAGATCGGTTGGACTGAGTCGTGGTTCTGAGGGTGAGCTGATTCGGTTGTTGAGATCGATCGGTTGATGATTTAGTCGTTGGATGGCAGGTTGAGGTGATCAGGGAGGCTCAACAGCATCGGGGCCGTGGTGGTAATAAGAGGAGGGAGGAAAGTGCTTGAGTTTCAGAGAAAATAGGAGGGGGACGAGAAAAAAAACACACACTTGGAGAGGGAACGCACTGCAACACCCTTTCTTTATTTTTCACCCAAGAGAAAACCATTAATTATGACACTGATCAACGTCGATTATGTATCAAACATCAGACACTTTTCATCGATCAACCAGCTGCGAACCCACTGCACAGAAGGCCCTCTGCCATGGGAATCAGAAAGCCACCTGATCATCCAGAAGCCTAACCAAAAAAAAATATGTATCCAATGATCTGGCCTACTGGACTACTGCTCACTCCACAGGATAATTAGGGAATCTGGCAGCTTTCAAAGCACAAAGCTAACCTCAATCAGAGAAAGATTTATGTAATCTGATAAACAACAAGCTTGAGATAGATGAGTCAGGAAGAAACAAAAAAATAATAGAAGAAGAATTCTGAATGTGTGTAAAACTAAAGAGTATGGAGCAAAAGCAAGAAAGACTTCTGGCAGCCAACTTGTTACTTGTTGTTTCTCTTCTTTTTTTGACTGATGTGTGGAATCATTTTGCTCATACCTTCAATTAACCAACTACAACAAAAGGGAATCAATTGCTCACTTGATCCTAGCACCCTTCAGTCAGCGGTGGGCCGCTACGCTACACTACGCTACGGGCCCATGTAGCGTTAGCGTAGCGGCGCCAATTTTTTTTTTCGTGTAGTGTTAGCGCGCCGCTACGGCCGCTGCGCTAACACTAGCCATTTTTTGGTGTAGTGTTAGCGCCCCGCTGGCACCGCTACGCTGCGTTACGCTACGCTACAGCGTTTTTAGCGGCAAAAAACCCCAAAAAACCGCTAAAAACTGCTGTAGCGCAGCGTAGCGGGCGGTTTTTTGCGCCCTGTGCGCGTAGCGTTAGCGCAGATGGGGAGAATTGCGCTAACGCTACGCTAAACGTTAGCGCATTGTTTTGCCCCGTGCGCGTAGCGTTAGCGCTGAAAATGAAAAAAGCGCTAACGCTACGCTACATTGTAGCGATTTTTCGCAACACTACGCTACGCTAACGCTACAGTTAGCGTAGCTGGCCCACCGTTGCTTCAGTCCTACAGGCAACGGTGCAACCAATACAAGACATGTACTCCTAGTGGCCACATATCATACTTTCCAAGTTCACAATTATATGGAATTGTATCGTATTCATCCTTGAGTACAAGACAATGTATTTTTACATAAGCATACTTCCCCCATAATTGAATACACTGTACTTGTAAGATTATGTATTTGGGAAAAGTACAATATGTGAGCAATATGAGTACATAATTATCCCGTATTTCCATATATTCCTTTTTTCATTTTTTTTTTTCAACTTTCTCTCAATTTTTTTTTTTGTATTTTTTTTCAATGTTTTTTCCTTATTTTTATGTTGATTTTTTTCCCAACTTTTTTCCCATTTTTTTTTTCTCAATTTTTTCTCAATTTTGTTGCTCAATTTTTCTCCCATTTTTTTTTCTCAATTTTTTTTTCTCACCTTTTTTTGGGTCAGGCTAAATGCACTCCAAAAAGAGGTTGGACAAGCTGGTTCACTCCAACTCATTTGGAATGAAGTGTTTTGTACTACAAAATCTGGGCCAAGTTTGTCAGTGTCAGGTGCAAGCATGCCATGTGTGAAATCCATTCAAATTCTATCAAATTTTGTGGGGATTTCACACATTATGCTGCTACAGTACATTGCTACATTGTGCAAACAAATGGGGCCCTAGTGTTTTTTGGAGTGTTCAACCTTGCACTCCAATTTTTTTGGAGTGTACAAATGATTCACTCCATAAATATTTAAATACCAACCACTTCCAAGGTTTTTTCAGCCTTAGAGCAAGCCAAGCTGACCAAAAGACTGCTTAATCAAGTCATCCTTTTTCACTCAAGTTCATACTGTAACTTTTTCATCTTACTCTTTAATTTAATTCTGACTGCAGAAATTAATTTCTCTGCTGAATTTAGCTTAGTCACCACTACCCACTTTTACAATACTCTTCTCCTTCATAGACTTTGTAATATTTCACCGTAAAAAAATTATTTTTCTCTTTCTGATGAGCTAATTTTTTTTATGAAATATTTCACCGTACAAAAATTATTTTTCTCTTTCTGATGAGCTAATTTTTTTTATGACTTTAGTGTGAAAAATGCTAATTCTCCATCTGGACCACAGTTGACCCTGGACCACCCAAATTTTCACTCTTGCTATACTATATGGGGAGACACTCCTCCTCATATACAGTGCATCTGTGCCAGTGGGATTCAATGAAAGGAAACATACTTATATCTTATAAAAGTATTGTTGAACCTATATGATATTCATATATATGGTCCTTTCATAGAATCTAAGATGTTTGGAACTTTGAAGACTTTTTGAGGGATTAAAGCAGAACAAACGTTATAAGGGTTAACTGATGATGGTTTTATTCTTTTTTGGGCATTTTTAGACAAATAACCAAGTAAAAGTAAGCCTCTTTAGAATATGAGCTTGATCAAGTTGGATTAAACTGATGGTGTGTGGCCTTTTAGATAGACCGAAAGATGAAGACTCAAAGGGCAAATTTAACGGGTGGCGTACATGAAGTGATTAATGTTGGATATAGCTTATATAAAATGGCCATTATTAAATGCAAGTTGTTTTTAAAGGTGCATTGTAGAAAGGAAATGGATGACTTTGATGTTGACTGGTGGAATGTTAACGTGGCTCCAAAAGACTTGCTGGAAAATTAGTGCTTGAGGGATTCTTTGGTGCAGCTCGTGTCACATGCACCATCTGTAACAGACCACCAACAGTATGAAAAGTGGGCCCTTGTTGGCAAGTGTGGATTCTATATTTGCATACCTGCCAAAGATAAGAGGAACTTTTTCAAGAACTTAATTGAGCTTGGAGAGTTGAGCTTATGTATGACTGAGTATGAAAAGATAGTAATTGATGGTGCGCAGAGTATTCTCGCAAGTCTTTTGGTCAGAGTCATGGTAGCTTCTGGCATCATTCAAGTGGGGCTTAATGCTTTTGGCATGAAAGCCAAACTTGAAGATGTAGAGCACAACTATGGGAGAAAGCCGGCAAATGAGGGTGCATACAATTGGTTTGATATTGGTGTTTTTCACCAGGCCAAAGGAATTCCATTGTTCAAACCAATCAACAAGAGTGCCAATACCAAGCTATATCCAATGTTGCTGGACTTGGGCAAAGGTTATGGAAGAAGAGATTGAAAAAATCAAAGTCTACTCATGTCTAGTTCATGCACTCAAGTCTACAAGTGCAAAACACCTATCATATGGGCCGACTAATACCCAGAATTGGCATACACAACTTGATTTGATTGAAAAGAAAGCCATGAAATTAGAGGCTAACGACTACACTCGAATTGAGGGATTTCAAGTTGAATTGACCATAGATTGCAAGAAGCTTGACCAATTAATAGAATACTTGTAAGTTAAGGTGGTGATAGTTGAACCAATCCTCGGCGATAATGGTAGCAAAGTGCATGATCTTGTGCCAAAGTAAGTGGGGATGGTTGCTGGCTAACTAAGTCACCCAGGACGTCATGCACAGACAGGAGCGTGTTGTAGAAGCTCATCGCAAGGAATTGAGCACTGAATTGTGCATCCATATTGTAGGGATCGACAGCAGGGCAAGGGTGAGGAGTCGCAGGAGGATCAGTAATACTTGTAAGTTAAGGTGGTGATAGTTGAACCAATCCTCGGTGATAATGGTAGCCAAGTGCATGATCTTGTGCCAAAGTAAGTGGGGATGGTTGCTGGCTAACTAAGTCACCCAGGACGTCATGCACAGACAGGAGCGTGTTGTAGAAGCTCATCGCAAGGAATTGAGC